TGTTGTGATTTGGCGCTATATAAATAAAATTGAATTGATAGGTCCACACAGTGAGACAGGTACACAGAGTGAGGTAAATAACACAGTGAGACAGGTGAGAGATGCCAGCTTACTGTGCGTTTCTTCCACAGAGACATCAGCTGTCCGTCCAGCGTCGCCCATAATACATTATGTCTGTTAAAGGCAGAAAACAAGTTCATCATCCATTCAACTGACAAGTAAGCAGTCACATGATTTTGGGTCCCCTGATTAGCCCAGGTTAGCTGGTTCTGCTCATACTATAGGAAACATGAGTTTCTAATGGGATTTTGTTTCAGCGAACGAGACAGGTGAGGCCAAAAGACCAGAAAATGAAGAACCTTTTATGAAGATCTTTAGGTGCTGATACATGATAAATATCCCAACAGTAGATAGTACGGACCACTCGAGAACCTAGTCTTTGTGGACACCCTTTAGGTTTTGAGGCCCAGGCCGACTCTGTCCTGGAGTGAATCTAAAGCACGACTTGTGAAACCTGTGATGGCCTTGACATTACCTGAAGCCTTTCCAGACGTCCAGCCAGCTTGCCCGGACAACAGGGCTCTGAGGAGTAGGTTTCCCGCTGGCGCCCTTCTTCCTTGACACTCGGATGGTGGCCGCCCTGCAGGACACACCCACGTTAACACTTTGAAGGTCGATTTAGTTTTGCAGGCGTTGTGCGTAGTTGTGTTTACCTCGGTGTCTTCTGTCTGACAGATTTTCCTGATCGGCCTGCTGTGTTGGGAGGGGGCGGGGCCGGCCGAGTAGGTATCAAACGAAAGGAAGCATTAGTCGAGATTCTGCAGAACAAACACAACGACACCATGAGAAAGATGTTTCAAACCCTTTAAGGAGCTTTACATTGTAAGGTAAACCCTACAGTGATACAATTTACCGACACGTTCTCATCCCAAAAACATTTCACGCCAGGTGACAAACCGTCAACATATTACGTTTTTTCCTAAATATAATATGAGATAGTATGAGAACTGTTTGGACTCAATCTACATATGTTCGTTCATTTTCCTAAAATCGCTTGGGAGAACACTATTTAACGTCATTAAAGTGCTGGTTAGGGTTAGGAACAAGGTTATGGTTAAGGATAAGAGAAGGTTTAGGGCTGGAATGTCTGTTTCCGCAGGACTGTCACTGGATTTCATCCATAACCCGGCGTGTACCATAAGAACACGGAAGGTCACCTTTCGCATTCCTCAGGAACGCCGCACGACTTGACAAAACATCAGGATGTTACGCCTCGGGAGTGAGAACGGTCTGAATTCACAGTAACCATACACACTTGTCATTGTTGGTCGTCGGGGCAGAACGAGGATCTGCTTCAGCTGTAGAAGGAGCGGGGCTAACACCTGATTCTTCCTCCTCATTGGATGACTCAGATTCAGCTTCCTCTTGGGTCGTCCAGCAGGCCAACGTGGTGTCCGACGGGTTTTCTGCTCTGGTGCTATGAGGACCTGGAGATAAAACTGGGACCAGAACCAGGAAAAACTGAAGCAGTTGGAAGCCAGTGGGAAGAAGCCCAGCAGAAGAAATACTAACAGTACCTTCACCTGTTAACCCTGCAGCACCCTCTACAGGTGGCAGCGTGACTGCAGCGGTCGGGTCTAAAGCTGATGTTACCAGCTGTGACAGCGCTCCAACATCTGGACACAGGTTCAGAGGAACACAAAGAGCATGTGTTAGTTCTTCTTACCCTCAGAAAGGGCTGAATCCTCTTAAGCTTGCAGAATGTTTAACGTTCAGGTGACCTAAAGCTGTGCACCACCTCAGGTGATCACCTGCACCCAACCTCCTGACACTTTCTACCAGCTGGAAGTGAAGCTGCACTCTAACTGTGGATCATACCCTCCTGATGTTTATATAAAAATTACACACAAACGTCCTTTTTCTGGTGGTCGTACCTGTCATTGCACCTGTACGAGCATCTCCAGCTCCACTTCCCGTCAGCGAGGGTGGGTGGGGTTTAGTATTTGGGAGGGGTGGGGCTGATGGAGAGAAGCTCACAGCAGGGTTACCCACACCGCTAACAAACCCCGCAAAGCTGGGAATGTTAGCCAGTGAGTTAAAAATGCTGTCCAAGCTAGGAGCAGGTGCAGGTGTGGTGGAGGGGGCGGGGCTTAGCACAGCAGTATCTGCGTTAGCACCAGGTGGCATTGGATTGAATGACGCAAGGTTAGCCTCAGTGCTAGCAGCTTCTGCTAAGTCAGGTATGTGGGTGGTAATGCTATTAGCTATGCTGTCTAAGGAGGGGGGAGCAGAGGGTGTGGAGGGGTTCCAGGGGGCGGAGTCTCCAATGGAAGCAGCGACTCCTGCCAGTGACGGGATGTTGGTGGCGATCACGCCAGTGACGCCGTCCAGAGTTGGCAAGGTGAGGCTACGACTCAGTGCACTGTGAGCATCTTCATCTGAGGAGGACACATGACATCAGCTTCATCATTATTTCACAACAAAAAGCTCAGAAACTTTCACAATAAGACTTCAATAAAGATCACTGACATTTTCACAATAAGAGTCTTGTAATACCAAATGATGATTCACAATAAAAATGCTAAACTTTCATTTAGACTTTTACGTTTAGAGAACAGTGAAAAAGACTATCACAATAAAAGGTCAGCAATATTAGTGATACTTTCTCAATAATAACACCTGCAATATAATTACAGGCGCTTTCAGAGTAAGTCATCTAATAATACACTGAAATGTCACAATAAGAGTGACAGCATGGGGAGCTTCATGAAAGAGTCCTTCAGAGTAAGAGTCTGGTAATGTTCCCTGGAGAGACACTTTCATAATAAAAGCTTCCTGGGCAGAGCTCTATGGGGCAGTAGAAGGACGACCAACACGGTCTCACTTTGTGAATTTTTCCACCGTCTTTGAAGTGATCTGGTCGGAGCAGCCCGAGACATGACGTGACGCGATCTTTACAGAGATTATCTGATTACCACAGGAAGACAAACTGGTTTGAGATAATCACTTGTGATATCTGAACAAACAGTGGGAGGAGTTTCCCTCGCCCGAACAAACAGGTTCAACGGCTCGCAGTGAAAACACGGCAGCAGCTGACTGGTAGGATGAAACTGACGAGGTCCTGCAGCTTTTATTTTGGTATACTTAATGATCAGTGATCAATAATCGACTGGTCCTCAGTCAGTCTGACTCAGAGCTGGAACTTCTGAGACCTCATCGATCACAGGAAGTGAGCGTGGTCTTCAACAGGAAGCAGCCGAAGCTTTGTGCCTGACTTAAACTCTGTGTTGTTTCTGTTGGCTGCTTGTGCTGGTCTGCTGACTTTAAGGACCGATGTTTGTCTCTCACTTCCTGTTTGGATGCTCAGGTCTTCACATGTTTGTGTTTAACCTCCTGTTTCATTCTTTCCTTCATGTCTCGTGTGTTTGATGAAGTCATCCTCTTTGTAGGAGCTGAAAGAAGCTGGACCATCTTCAGTTCTTAGCGTTTGATCCCAGAGTCTGCTGAATCATCATCACTGTATTGTCGGGGTTCAGCAGTGTAAGACGGACTGTGTTGGTTAGAGAGGAGATGATTCCAAGATGATTCCAAGATGATTCCAAGATGATTCCAGGGTGATTTCAGGCTTTCCTGCATCTTAAAGGAACCCTCTCGCTCACTCAGACCTGCTGCAGGTTTGGACCGAACCAAAATGTCATCATGGATCAGGAGCGAAGCAGTAAGGACGTCACACACATGCTCTGTTCTGTTTCAGGGGTGTCAAACATAAGGCCCGGGGGCCAGAACCAGTCCAGTCTGCTGCATGTCTTTGGAAAATGTGAAGGAGAGCAGAGATTTATAACTGTTACCTGTGTTAGAGCCTTACCTCCACTGTGGCCCTTCACACACGCCAAAGACATTACTAACTGATAAACAATGAAAGGACAGAAACCACCTACACAACTGTTTTTCTCCTGGATGAGCATCTCAGGGATCCGGTGTTACAGAGCAGTTTCACTGGTGTGGAGCCCACTGTGATCTAGAGCCCACTGTGATCTAGAGTGGGCTCCACACAGCCCACCATGTAAAGTCAATTTCACCTCCCCGTGCCTTCTCTAGTCTGTGTGTGTGTGTGTGTGAGACTGTATCTGTGTGTGTGTGTGTGTGTGTGTGTGTGTGTGTGTGTGTGTGTGTGTGTGTGTGTGTGTGTGTGTGTGTGTGTGT